TAACATCCGTTGCCAATCTTCCTCTTTTTGCTGAGGAAGATTAGCCCTGAGCTAACATCTGTGCCCATCTTCCTCTATTTTGTATATGGGATGCTACCACAGCATGGCTTGATGAGTGGTGCGTAGGGCCGTGCCCTGGAGCCGAACCTGTGAACCTGGGGCTGCCAAAGCAGAGTGCGCAAACTTAACCACTGTGCCACTGGCCCAGCCCATGATTCTGAATTTTGATCAATATATCAAATATACTGAAAGTCACAATATGTTTCTTTTGTCAGACAAATACATAGTATAATCGGTCAGTGAGCTGTTGGTTGGTACTGAGCTATTGGTTGCTTATAGTATTGAGATTACATGAGTGAGGTTTAAAGCAATTTTCTCTCAATCTGCATTTTATACACCTGAGTAATATGACAGAAATGGGTATTTCTGTTTCATCGTTTTAGAGAGGACAGCATTTTAAATCTCATGTAGAAGAATACTACTATGAATCAGCTCCCTTTATTGAGTATGCACCTTGTGCTAGGCACCGTGATAAGCATTTTACATGAATTAACTCATTTAATCATCAGAATACTCCTTATGTAGATAATGTTAAATACACACACACACCAGACATAGGCACACACATATTTTACAAATGAGGGAACTAAGATCCAAAAACGGTTAAGTAATGTGTTCAAGGTCACATGGCTAAGAAGCATTTGAGCTGGAGTTTGAACACCATGGTCTGGTTCCAGAGCTCTGCTCTTAACTAAATCTTTGTACTGCCTCTGTTAATTTTTGATAGCTTTTTGTAGTTTTTAGAGGGTGATCTTGTTTGATGCATGCAATAACTCTGTGAAGTAGGTGGAGTAAACTATATTATCTTCATTTCACAGATGAGGAAACTAAGTCTTAGAGAACCTCAAGGTTTTTGACTCCTACTCCAGTGTTTATTTCATTTTAATATGCTATATTCTAGAAACAGCTAGGCTTTGGGAAGTCAAGTTCAAGGCTAATGGATATAACAGGATGTAGGTCCTTGTATTTGTTAACCCAGGCTGCTGGTAATTCATTTGTATAGCCAGCTTTGTGTAAAACTAGTAAATGAGGATTGATTGATTCAGGTCAATTTGATTAGCTATCTAAGTCTCTTTATATAACTCATCTGAGTTAAAGTGAGAAAAGTGCATCTTTATCCTGATTATGTCATCTCCTTGCTTTATATGAAATGTGCACCCTTTTTTCTATGAAAAGAGAAGGTTTTATTGATGACAGACTTTTGTGAGCTGATAGGGTCTAAAACTTTATTTTATTTTTAGGTGCGAGGTTGCATCTATCTGGTTTTTAGATGTATTTCTAGCATCATCTCCCAATACATGTTGTCATGCTTAACCACCTACCTAAATTCTCCAAGCGTTCTTTTACCTCCTCATCTTTGTGCATTTTCTTCCTGCCCCTGAAATACCCTTCTTTCCCTTGTCTACCTGGTTGAATTCTAACATAACTTCATCTAGGAAGCCTTTTCTGATGTTCCCAGGCTGGGTTGTCTGTTCTGTGTTCCCCTAGCACTTCATATATACTTCTCTATAGCCCTGATAAGTGCATTATAATTTTATTGTCTGTCTTAGAATGGGAGATCTTTAGGGTAGATATTTTGCTGTGTTGATCTTGTATCCCAAACACCCAGCACAGTAGGTGCTCTATAAGTAAATAAGTAGTGATGGTGAAAAGAGGATCAGCAGTGAGTGTTCTCACCACTTGTTTCGTTGTTGTTTTTTGCAGCTATGCATGCCCAAAGGGCTGGCATTCAAGACCCAGGCTGATCCCAGGGAGCCCCAGTTCCATGCCTTTATTATCACAAGGGAGGATGGCTCTCGGACATTTGGGTTTGCCCTCACATTCTATGAGGAGGTGACTAGCAAGCAGATCTGCAGTGCCATGCAGACCCTTTACCACATGCATAATGCTGAGTATGATGTCTTACATGCTCCCTCTGCTGATGGCCGAGACCACGGTGGCATGGAGGATGGTGAAGGCACTCCTGGGACCAAGCTGCAGCGCTTCAACTCTTATGACATTAGCCGGGACACGCTCTACGTCTCTAAGTGTATCTGCCTCATCACGCCCATGTCCTTCATGAAAGCATGTCGGAGTGTGCTGGAACAACTTTACCAGGCAGTCACTTCACCTCAGCCCCCTCCACTGCCCCTTGAGAGCTACATATACAACGTACTCTACGAGGTGCCACTCCCACCTCCCGGCCGGTCCTTGAAGTTTTCTGGGGTCTATGGGCCCATAATCTGCCAGAGACCAAGTACCAACGAGCTTCCCCTATTCGACTTTCCTGTCAAAGAGGTTTTTGAACTGCTTGGGGTGGAGAACGTGTTTCAGCTTTTTACCTGTGCCCTTCTGGAGTTTCAAATCCTGCTCTACTCACAGCGTAAGTCAGTGCTTACTAGACCTCTCTCCCTGCATAGGGCCTCCCTTCTTTCCATGTAAGATACAGTGGGGCTGACTGTAAAGGTCAAGGCCTGTTACAATTTGAGCAAAACCCAGATCTTTTGCAGGTAGGTGATAGATGGAACTGCTAGGCGCTCCGGTCTAGGAGGGAAACTCTGCCTCCTGATACCCCTTCTGATTGAGCTGAAAAGAGGGGCAGGAGGTGATGGTCATAGGAAGCTAACTTTGCATCAGTTCTGTTCTGTCATTCTGCATAGTTATTTCTGCCCCTTCCTCAGCCTAACAGTAAAATTGAGGATTCACAAATGATGACCCTTCATATATTTGAGAAAATATGTTTGAGAAAATGAAGATGTATTGCTTCTTTCTGTTGTTTGTTTGTTATAACTGAATTGTTTTTATTTCTGTTGTTTGTTTTTATTTCTGTTGTTTGTTATAACTGAATTGTTTTTATAAATGAGAGGTTAAGTGAATGTGAGCAGCAGACTTGGACAAAATAGTAAAGTAGATCAGGAGGAAACAAATATTTATTAAATGAGCCAGATAAGTAACATAAAATTCATTCATTCAGTACATATTTATTGAGAGCCTGCTGTTTTTCAGGGGCAAGAGATATAGTGGTGGACAAAACAGATAATCTTTCCTATAATGGAACTTATATTTTAGTAGGGAAAGAGAGGTGATTAAATAAGTAAATAAAATTTATAGTATGTAGATACTTCCCTGTAAAATAAAACAGGGAAGAGGATGGTATTTGGGGAAGGAAAGTTCTAGTTTTTAATAGAGTGATTAGTTTAGGCTTCTCTGAGTGACCCGTGTTAATCTCTGTAGGAACAGTATTCCAGGCAAAAGGCACAGGAAGTACAAAGCTTCTGACACAAGAATGTACTTACTGTGTTAAAGAAGCTGGATGGATGGAGTGGAGCGAGAGAGCAGGAGTGTAGGAGAAGATGGTGTTAGAGACTTAGCAGGATCCCAGGTTGTACAGAGTCTTGTAGGCCATTATAAGGACTTTGTTACTCTTGAGATGCCTAGTCTTTGGAGATTTTAAGTTTTTTGACTTTTTATTTTGAAATAATTTCTAGTTTATGGAAGAGTTGCAAGAAGTGTTCAAAGAACTCTTATACGCTGTCCCACAATTCACCAATTGTTAACATTTGGCTGCATTTGTTTTATCATTCTCCCTCTCTGTCTCTGTATGTGTTTGAGCATAACTGAGCCATTGAGAGTCATTACAGACGTCATGTCCCTTGACTCCTAAATGCTTCAGCTTTTATTTCATAAGAATAAGGACATTTTCTTACACAACCATGGTAGGATTATCAAATTCAGGAAATTTAACATTGATGCAATACAGTATTCAAGTTTCACCATTGTCCAGTAGTGTCCATTATGGTAATTTTTTTTTTATTCCTGATCCAGGATCTAGTCCAGTAACATTCATTGCTTTTAGTTGTCAGTTCCTCGTCTTTCATGACATTGACATTTTTTAAGAGTACAGGCAAGATGTTTTGTAGAATGTCCCTCAGTTTGGGTTTGTGTGATGTTTCCTTATGGTTAGATTCAAGTTACAAATTTTTGGCTGGAATGTCACAGAAGTGATGTTGTGATTCTCTCAGTGCATTATATCAAGAGGCACATAATGTCTATTTTTTATCATTACAGGAGGCACATGATGTTAGTTTGTCTCATTTTTGGGCCAATGTTAATTTGATCACTTGGTTAAAATGATGTCTGCTGAGTTTCTTAGCTGGAAAGTTATCCTTTTCCCCTTTGTAATTAATAAGTGATTTATGGGGAGATACTTTGAAACTCTATACTGTTCCACTTCAAAGTTTTGCCTAATAGCTTTAACATCTATTTATGATTCTAGTCTGCATCAGTTATTACCATGACAGTTACAAAATGGTGATTTTCTAACTTCATCTATATTTATTAATTGGCATTTTACTATAAGGGAGAACGTTCTGTTCTCCCTTGTTTGTTTGTTATTGTATGGACTCATAGATTTTTATTTTCTTCAGTAGGTTATATTACTATAATTGTTTATTTATTTATTAATTTAAAATTTTTTTTTTTTAATTTTTTTCTCCCAAAACCCCAGTAGATAGTTGTATGTCATAGTTGCACATCCTTCTAGCTGCTGTATGTGGGACGCAGTCTCAGCATGGCCGGAGAAGCGGTGCGTCGGTGCGCGCCCAGGATCCAAACCCGGGCCGCCAGCAGTGGAGCACACGCACTTAACTGCTAAGCCACGGGGCCGGCCCATATAATTGTTTATTTTTGATGCTCAAGTTGTTTCAGATTTGGTCCATGGGCAAAGGAATGGTGTTTTTACCTCCATGAGGGCAGGGCTTTTGCCTTTTGTTCACTGATGTATTCCAAGTATTGGAACAGTAGCTGGTATATAATGGGTGTTCAATAAATGTTTGTTGAATGAATGAATAACTTACGCTTATAACAGGAACACTCTAGCTACTATATTAAGAGTCTATCCCCAAAGAAGGTATGGAGGAGAGCAAAGAGTTCAGTTAGGAGGCCCGTGCAATAATCCAGGTGAGAGATGATGTTGGCCACGACTAAGGAGGTAACAGTGAAGTGGTATGAAATGGTTGGATTTTGGATATAGTTTAAAGGTGAAGTAGTGGAGACTGTGTTGAATTGAAGAGCACATACCCCATCTAAAGTGGACAGCCACTAATTAGCTCCAGTTAATTCCTGGTGAGAATGCTGGCCTGATGTTTCTAGATCTTCCAGTTTCTCATCAGGACGCAGATTTTTGGCATGAAATCTCTGATTTTTGAACGTTGGCAAGAGTGTTTTTGTTACACACTACAGGCCAAACAAAAAGAGTCTGTTGGCTGATTGTGGTTCCTGAGGCTTCACTTTGCAACTTCTCGTTTTAAAAATATGAAGTTTCAGACTCCTCTCTCTGGGTGAAATATAGACTTGGACAAGTCATGTTGCTTTCTTAGTTACTCTTTGACTGGAGCTTGGCAAAAATACTTTGAAACAGAGGCTTAGTTGAATAGTGAAGACTGTCTGGTTTAGAACAGAGAGGAAGACACCAAACCAGCTTGGGTGTTAGAAGGTGTAGTGGCATAGAGGTACCTATAATGCATTGGGGATGTTTAGAGGAGGGAAAAGGAGAATTAAAACCAGAAATATGATAGGTGACATTTTCCCATCAGAGCTCCTTATATTTCCCAGAACATGGATTATTGTATCTGTGATAAGAATTTTAAGAGGTTCGAAAGCACTTGAGAAGGTTTGTGTGTAAAATCAAATTGAACTCAGGCCCTAAAGTCATGCTTAGCACGGTCAGGAAAAAGCTGTTTCCAAAAACTTCCTGGGCATTGTTGAGCATGGCTGAGGCTAAAATGGAGTGGCCTTTTATTGGATGTAGGTTATGCTCACTATTATTAATAGAGTACTTGAAACAATTCAGCTTGGTTTTCTTGAAATAGTTTTTTTTTTTTTTTTATGATTCCAAGGCCTTACGTGGATGAAAATCTCTCTGATCCTCCAAAAACATGCCATCACCACTCACAGATGATGTTGCGCACTACGTCTCTCTGAATAGAAAAGAGGTGTTATTTAGGGAAAAGGAATGCAGGTGAAATTGTAAGATTCTGAGAGTATAACTCTTGGGATGACTGAACTGGCAGTTTTTTTTTGTTTTTTTTTTTAAATTTTTTTATTTATTTTATTTTTTCCCCCCAAAGCCCCAGTGGATAGTTGTATGTTGTAGCTGCACATCCTTCTAGTTGCTGTATGCGGGACTTGGCCTCAGGATGAACGGGGAAGTGGTGCCTCGATGCGCACCCGGGATCCGAACCCGGGCCACCAGCATCGCAGCGCGCGCACTTAACCACCAAGCCACAGGGCCGGCCCTGAACTGGCAGTTTTAAGCAGTGTTTTTTTTTTAATTTGTGTAGATCATTTTATTTACTACCTATTTGTTCTTTGGTCCATATAGAGATAGTTTTTTTTTTTTTTTATTGATGTCTTAATAGTTTATAACATTGTGAAATTTTGGTTGTACGTTACTGTTTGTCAGTCACCATATTAATGCCTCCTTTCACCCCTTGTGCCCACCTCCCCAACTCCCTTGCTCCTGGTAACCACCATACACTTCTCTCTGTCCATGTATTGGTTTATATTCCACATATGAGTGAAATCATGTGGTGTTTGTCTTTAGACAGAGTTTTTTTTTAATAGCATATTTTTAGTGCTTGTTTTAAAATTGTATATAGAGCAAAAGTTCTTTATCTGATGCGAGTTGGTAGGGTAGTGGGTTGGATAATTGAAAAGGTCATTTAAGTCTGGGAATCCTAAAAATGATACATACATCCATTTTAACTTAAAATATGTGACTGTATAGTCACCAGTCTTTTGATGAAGGGTAGGCATTTCCTTTGATTATGGGTTCACTAATCAGATGTCTGCATTGTTTTTCTTGCGTAAACCACACCCATAATTCATCCCCTAAATTTTCTAGATACCTTTTTTTTTTTTAAAGTGGAGTGAGACCTTAACGTTGCAGAAGACCAGAGTGGAACCTGCATGTCGATTTTTGCAGTTTTCCTTAGATTTTTGCAGTTAATTGCCTCACAGTATGCTTAATTCACTTATAGTATTTTTTAGCGACTTTGCATTACTGAGTCTTTTTAAAGCATTTAATTTTGTTTTCAGAGAAACAGTTCTTTCTTTTGCCCTCATATTTTACCATTTATTTACATAATATTTGGTTAAATATATAATCCACTAAGTTCAACTAGCACAAACAAGTTTGGGAGCAAATGCCACCAACTCTTGTTAAGCGTACATTAGTTTTTTATTGCAAAAGTACTGCGTGCTCAGGGCACACAATCAAAACAATTCCAAAGGGAATAAAATGAAATCTCTTTTTCTTTCTCCTTCCTGTGGTAGCCAGAGATCAGATTTCTTGTGTATCCGTAATGAAAATAATAGTTTTTTTTAAAACAAATAAATAATATGTGAACAAACAATGTGGAGAAAGTTGAAAGTTTCCTTTTCTTTTTGACCTGGAATTCTACCCCTTTGAAGTAATCTCTTAATTTTTTATTTATTTATTTTGTGTGTGTGTGAGGAAGATCAGCCCTGAGCTAACATCCATGCCACTCCTCCTCTTCTTGCTGAGGAAGACCGGCTCTGAGCCAACATCTATTGCCAATCCCCCCCCTTTTTTTTCCCCCAAAGCCCCAGTAGATAGTTGCACGTCATAGTTGCACATCCTTCTAGCCGCTACCTGTGGGACGCGGCCTCAGCACGGCTGGAGAAGCAGTGTGTCGGTGCGCGCCCGGGATCTGAACCCGGGCTGCCAGTAGCAGAGCGTGCGCACTTAACCGCCAAGCCACGGGGCCGACCCGATCTCTTAATTTTTTTAATGCCCTCCTCCCAAATATTTTTAAATAATGCACTATTTTTTGTTAAATGTTGAGTACACATGTATTAATTTTAATATTCTTTAGAGTATATGTACACACCATGGTATATTAAAATTATTATTGATTAAAATTAATTTTAATATACCATACATATATGTTTTAAATTGGTATAATACATCTTGGAAAAAAGCATTTCAATCATATGGTAGAAATTTAAAACATTACAAAAGGGTGTCTAGTGAAGTGTAAGACTTCCACCTCTGGCCCCTGGTTCTCCTTCAGGGAGATTACCACTGTTTCCAGTTCCTTCCAGATGTAGTCATGCATGTACAACATATATACTTTTTTTGTGTGTGTGTGAGGAAGATTAGCCCTGAGCTAACATCCATGCCAATCCTCCTCTTTTTGCTGAGGAAGACCGTCCCTGAGCTAACATCTATTGCCAATCCTCCTCCTTTTTTTCCCCAAAACCCCAGTAGATAGTTGTATGTCATAGTTGCACATTCTTCTAGTTGCTGTATGTGGGATGCCGCCTCAGGATGGCTGGAGAAGTGGTGCATCAGTGCGTGCCCGGATCTGAACCAGGGCCGCCAGCAGCGGAGCGCGCTCACTTAACCGCCAAGCCACAGGGTCGGCCCCCACAACATATATACTTTTTAAAAACAACACAAATGGGAGCATACTAATCATTGTTTTGCACCTTCTTTCATTTAATGATGTATCTTGGAGATATCAGGACATAGAGATTAGGTTGTTTTCTTAAACACAAAGAGTACATGAAAACATCCTTGTTTATGTGGTTTTCACGGAAGTACAAGCATGCAAGGACAGTTTATAATTCGGTTTCTAATGTGCAGGAACTGCCCTGTAGTTTGTTTAGGAGTAGACTTATCTGTAGAGTGAACCCAAGTCTAATGTCTTTCTCTGCACAGAGACGAGTCATGAAAATGTGCTGATTCCTCCCTCCTCGCTACTCAGTGGTGGTTGTAATCCCACTATGCTTTGCATTATCTCTTTTTGTTAAAAGTAATTGCTCATTAGACATTATGGGAGCTGTGAGAGAACCCAGACGGTTGCCTGGAGCTGAAGTGTCTCCAGTTGATTTTGATTGGCTGAAACACTTGGGGCGCAGATGACCTTCAGCTGCTTCCTATTTATTGGTTTCACCTCTTGGAATGGTGAGCACAGTGACAAGCAGTGGCAAAGGAGGTACTGATTTTGTGGTTTGCAGTGGTGTATAGAAATGGGTTTTGTGCTGTTACTTATAGCTCTTGGAGGTCAGCATCCTAGCGTGGGTACCACAAATTGCTGGATCCCTGAGGCATTGTTTATTAGGCCATTCTTCAAGGTGGGATGTTACTTTTTTAAAATATAAAAATGTAGAGAAAGAGAAACCTACAACTCACACAGACCAGAAAGGCCGTAAAATTCCAAATTTCTGGTATTTGTAAAAACCAAACCGCATAATGGAAAGCAGTTTAGCCTTGAAAGAGGAGATTATGTCTCACTCCAAATGTGTTTTGTTTCTAAGAATCCCACAATTTCAAGTACATCATAAGGAGTTCTTCAGAGATTTCAATCTGAGGCAAAAAAAGTTATCCACTTTAGCAGAAATAAGTGGGCTCAGTTTCAGATACTAGATTAAATTCATCCTGAAGAGTAGGCAAAAACCAGGACTAGACTTCTGTGCTATTGAAAAACCTGCTTTTATGGAGCAGAGAAAGCTCCTTCCTTCAGACTCTAGCATGCCGTTTTATGATTACAGAGTAGATGTTCCCAGACCCTGCAGCTAGGTATTGTAAGAAGTAGTCCAGAGCCCAGGAAGCCTGATGACAGAGGCATTTCAGGGACTCCTTTATTCTAGAGTGTCGGTCGGCCCTCTGTGAGATGTTGCTGTCCCTGAGCAGACGTGTCAGGAATGCCAGCCACATAAAGCACCTGCTTTATTGACTTTGGGTAAAGGAAGGAGAAGCTTTTTGGTTTTCTTGTGCTTGAAAAGACCTGTGGTACTTCCTGCCTTTTTTTTTTTTTAATTCCAGAAGTGGTGTGCGTGTGTGTGTGTGTGTGTGTGTGTACAGTGAAAAAGGGGGGGTGGCATTATTCAGTGTAATATTTATTCAAAATATGTGTTTAAGAGCCAGTGTAGGGACATAGTAAGACTAGATCTTCACCTTTAAAATATCACTTGAAGGCTTTCTCCCACGCTTTTACATTCTTTTGATTCATCTTAATTTTGAATTTTAAAATAAATTCTTATGATGTCTGAGATTTTCAAGATTATTGCTCTTGAGTAGATTATTTACATTCATATCTGGAAAAAAGCTGAAAAATATAAGAATTGAGGTCTCATCTGGAGAATCATTAGAATTCCTCTTAATAATTATTGTTAGAGTAATCATAGAGCAGAGGGGTTTCAGCAGAAAGCAGATAAACAAGCAAAATTGTACAGGTGCCACATGGAATTGAGGTATTGCAGAAGAGGCTAAAGGTAGAGCTTGCGATCGTCTAAATTTTGTTACTCAGTTGTTGGGTTACTTTCATGTAGGACTAAATACTTTTTCTGAATTAATATATAGCTTATCTAATTTAATCCTTGAAATAGTGTTTTTTTTGTAATTTGGGAAGTGTTTTTGTTGTTGCTTCGATGGGGGGCTCACTAAATAGTTTTTAATATGGGAATGACGGTGCTGTGTGTGGGCACAATGAAAAATGAGATAGACTCTCCTTGAGCTCTTATCTGTCTGCCCCTTGTCTTTAGTGAATATGAAAAGCTCATGCTCTTTTGTCCTTCTGCTAAACCAGTTGTATTTTTTTTTTTGTTACTGGTGATCGAATCTCTGAGCTCAGTTTTACCCACTGATTGGTTACATCACTTATTTGTCAAGTGCCTTCGTTTCCCCAAAGAAGCATGTGAGGCACTTTCCTGTAGTGCACTCAGAATGTTTGAGATGATGACGTTTTAGTCATTAATTTCTATTTATTTGCATTACTAGTTAAAAAAAAAAAATCTATTTCCAGGTCGTACTCCTCTTTGCTTAGCCAGGAGCAAGGTGATAGGCAGCTTTCAAAGCTTTATTACTGCGCAGCTGTAGGATGCTTTGCTAAGCTTCTACCTAGCTGATACACACCAACTTCTGCTCAATTCCTACTCACTCTTCCTCATTTTCTGGAAAGCTTTTTGTTACTTATAACTCCTTTAGGAACCAAGCTGTGATTTGTTTAAATGGTGGGGTGGGTTTTTAGTATGTGAAACCACGTTAACTCTTGTGAAAGCTCATTCAAAATCAGCCATTCCAGGAGGATATTACTCATATGATTTTAAAATTTGTGTTCCTGCTTTGTCCTTAAATGCCTGAAACCAACATACCATTTGTGATAGTAATTTTTAAATTTTTGGTTTTAACTTATTCCTTTTTTTGGCTTCCCCAGTGTATTTGTTACTCATTTTTTATAAAATAGGTCTAGAAATTGTGTTCTGAAGAAAAGCTAAACTTTGAGCACAAGCCTTCCCTTGCAAGCTAAGATCTCTGATCTAGAGCAAGAGTTTTGAATCATGAAAGCCAATCTTCTCGGTCTTTCAAGTTTTAGGGAAGCTTTTTATTGAGTGTTAAATAACACATTTGTGCTATTCCCATTCAGGAAATGTTGCCAGGTACAGGGCAGACTTGGCTAGTTTGGAAAACCACACATACTTGGTGGCTCTTTGGGCTTGATCTTGAAGGCAAAGCTCACATCAGCTCCTTATAGAATGCAGACATATCTGAGTGGTTAAAAGCCTGTTTTGGCTTATGCTAAACAGAGACCCAGACCACTGTTCCTTTTCTTTTTGTTCCAGTTCCCCACCCCCTTTCTACCTAAGAGAATCTACTTAACAGTCTGATTTAATATTTGGAGCAAGGTGCTATTTATGATTTCTATTATATTTCCATATTAACTTTTATTACTAGCAGGGACCTGTGTGGGTGTGGGTATATTTCACCTTGTGGTCCACTGAGGTCTCTGGGTTCTCTCTGACACCCACAAGGGAATCACACTCTGAGCATACCCTTGCTCAGGTATCCTGAAGTTTATCCTGATCCTTTCTAAATGTGAAATTGTGTGGAAGGTTTTGACTTAGGGTTTGGGAAGCAAGTGTCTCGGTTTTGACTCTTTGGTTTGTGTTTTTTTTGTTTTTTTTTTTTACCTAGATTACCAGAGACTGATGACTGTGGCGGAGACGATTACAGCCCTCATGTTTCCTTTCCAGTGGCAGCATGTCTATGTCCCTATTCTCCCGGCTTCTCTCCTACATTTCTTAGATGCACCTGTGCCATACCTGATGGGCTTGCATTCCAACGGCCTGGATGACCGGTCAAAGCTGGAGCTGCCTCAAGAGGTGAGAGAAATGTGGAGCTTGAGTGCTGGTGCCTCTGGCCCCGATCCAGGATTGGGGAGAGAAAGGCTTTGGGATGAGCCCAGGGTGATATTGCCAAGTTTATTTTCTTTTATTTTGGGGGAACATAAATAACTTTCCAGGAAAACAGTTAAAACAATGAATATTTAGCTCAGTTTATATCATTCCAGAGATAGTTGTCATCTTTATTGCCTGACAGACATACGTTGTGGTCTCTGTGTTTGTACTATTGTGAATTGCCTTTTATACAGTTTTTCAAACACAGTATTTTACATACTTTTTAAGACATTTACTAGAAAATCTTTTTATTCTATGAAACTTTAAACATACACAAAAGAGTAGCATAATGAATCCCTGTATTCTCAACGCTCAGCTTCAACAGTTATCATACATGTTAAATTGTATTTTACTTCTGTACCTTCCACCGCCTATTATTTTAAGAAAACCCCACATAAGATAATTTCATAACTACTTTAGTAGTCAGACATGTGTTAATAAATCAGTGGTTTTCTTTTACAGGCCACAGTTGATCTGTAAAAGTTGACGTGATCATAGTGATTCTTGTGGTACTGAGCCAGCTTTGAAAACTTTCCTTGTTCAACATAAGGCCTTGAGAGAGTGCTTTTCCTCTCTTGCCGTGAGGATGGCCTGCTCCTCCTTCCTGTTGTTTTCACATATCAAAAGAATTGATTAAAAATATGTATTTATTTATTTCCTACTTCATTCTAAAATAGATTTAAAGCGTGATTAGAAAAAAGATTATTTTATTTTTTATTTTCCTATAATTGCCAATAGAACTAGTTCATTTTGTGGCTGGTATGAAACTAGCTGCGGGAAGGGCTTTCCCACTCTAAATTTCTTAGTCATTAGAAAGGCCTGGGAAGAAGACTGGAGTATACATACAGAGTCAACATGACGCTGTTTCCTCTCTCCATCAAAATTTCTTTGCAGGGGGGAGATTTTTGTGTGTAACTGAGGAATATGAGTAAGGGGACCTCCAAAGAAGAGAACAGTCTCATGGAATTGGATATGGGCAGCACTCATGTCGTTGGACATGTCTGGGCAGCATCTTTGATGAAACCCCTGATAGATCACACCTGTAATAATTAAATTATAGTCAAATGCATCTCTTTACTATTTTTCTCTCTCCTTTGGTGTTAGAATCAAAATGTCTTCCTCGTAGCTTCTTTCATTTCCACTCCCTTGGCTCCTTTGATTTTCTAGAGCTTTGTGCTGTTTGGGGTGGGACAAGATTAATTAAGGAAGAAAAGATCTAAACCATTGAGTTGGGGTATTGGGTTTTTATGTGTATTTGTCTATTTTACCAATTAATATACATGAAGAGTAGCTATCAAAGACTGAAGACTGGGGAGCTTTTTATTGTTTGCTTTATTTATTTCTTTATTTTTTGTGAGGAAGATCAGCCCTGAGCTAACATCCATGCTAATCCTCCTCTTTTTGCTGAGGAACACCAGCTCTGAGCTAACATCTATTGCCAATCCTCCTCCTTTTTTCCCCCAAAGCCCCAGTAGATAGATGTATGTCATAGTTGCACATCCTTCTAGTTGCTGTATATGGGACGCGGACTCAGCATGGCCGGAGAAGCGGTGCGTCGGTGCGCGCCCAGGATCTGAACCCGGGCCGCCAGTAGCGGAGCGCGCGCACTTAACCGCTAAGCCACGGGGCCGGCCCAGTTGTTTGGTTTAAACAAGTGTGTATTTAATATTGACACTTCTTCCTAGTAAACCTAATTATAATTTTGTAAAGTCAAAATAAGAATAACAACAAAAAATGATTGAAGGTAGAAAGCCAAAGAGGCATGCTACATGCTTAATCTAAAAATTAATCACTGTCTTAGACAAGAAGCCGGATTCTCAGTTTTATTTTCAGCCTTGGCATCAGCTTGCTGTATGGTTCTATTCTATGGGCAGGTTCTATTCCATGTAGGATCTCTCAGCATCCTTCTTTGTGTGCTTCATATATGTGGGTATATGAAGAGGCTGCTAGGAGACCAGCAGTTTTCTTAGTGGGACTGTTGGAGAAACCATGGGTTGTCTGAGAAACCCAAAAGTTCACTCTGTCCCGAGATATTGGGGCCTCCACTTTTGCAGTATTCCCCATCCTTGCTGCATCCTTTGCCTCTCGCCGAGGTCTACTTAGGAAGGAGTGGTGACGATGGGACTGTGGAATACTTGTGTATACTTAATACGCAGTTCTAGTGTTGCAGAGTCCCACTTCATACAAACTGTCCCTCTGAAGGTCCAATATTTGTGGGGGCAGTTACATAGCTAGATATTTTCTGCCTTGATTTTTAGCAGATAACGTCTGGGATATCTGAGTCTGTGTAATCCCTCTGGGAAGCTTTGGGGAGAAAAGAACTGCCTTTCTCGAGGAGTGAAGCACCATTAAAGGTACCGATAATGAATGGAGAGTGATAATATCTCTGAAAGACAGCTTTGGGATGTCTCAGAAACGATACACATTTATAGTAAAAAATTCTAACAATGCACAAAAGCATAAAGAATAAAGTAAAAATTGCTTCAAATTTACCACCCAGCGATTACTACTTTCAGCATTTTGGTGGACATCATGTGGTGTCTTTACGCTGCTAGAAGGAAGCTTTGAGGCAGGACTGGGGAAATTCACCTGGGCCTTTGCAAGGGGGCAGTATCAAGGTAGTGGGTGAGGCAAGCTTGATTTATAGAAGGTGCTTTTGGGAGCTGGCCCCATGGCTTAGCGGTTAAGTGTGTGCGCTCCGCTACTGGCGGCCCGGGTTCGGATCCCGGGTGCGCACCGACGCACCGCTTCTCCGGCCATGCTGAGGCCGCGTCCCAGATACAGCAACTAGAAGGATGTGCAACTGTGACATACAGCTGTCTACTGGGGCTTTGGGGAAAAAAAAGGTGGAGGATTGGCAATAGATGTTAGCTCAGAGCTGGTGTTCCTCAGCAAAAAGAGGAGGATTAGCATGAATGTTAGCTCAGGGCTGATCTTCCTCACAAAAAAAAAGAAGGTGCTTTCTCCAGAGGGATGGAGAGTGTACATTCCCTAACCCCCTAAATCAGAATTCATCAGTTGCTGCCGCATCTTTGGGCATCAGAAGTCTGTGAAAAGCCCTTTGTTTCTTTTTACACCAACTCATGAGCTCAGCTGGCCCTGAGCAAGTGAGAGTGCTGAGCTGCCTTTGTGAGGCATCTTTTGTCTGTGCTTCTCTTTCGGGTTTCATTGTGTGAGTTTAAGAAGGAGGCAATTCGTCCACAGCTATGTCAGGGCAGGCAAGCAGAGGATATTAGTAAAGAAGGAGGTGTTACTTTTTTCTGTCTTGGGCCCTTCTTTCTTTCCTACTTTTTCCTCCCTTTCTCGGGATACTCCTTCAGTAATTTCTCCTAGTTATCTGTGTGTTGAGCTCCCCTTCAGAGAATAACGTGGAGATAGACTAGGGGGTGAGGCTGGCTGTGATTTGGTGTTAGGAACTCAGGGCTGAAGGGGCATTGTGACCTCTTACAAGAAGAGATTTGGGAGGTTTTTTGGGATTTTGGGGATCCACGTGGTCACTACCCCAGAGCAGCTAAGCCTTCTCATGCCCTCTCCCAACAAGGCAGGAGGTTAACTGAGGAAAACTGATCTCTAGGGTTCAGTGCCCCTTCTAGGCTGCTGCTTGTCCCCCAAGCTGTTTTGTAGCGGTTGGCTTCTTCTCAGCTGAGGAAGGGGGTGCATGAGGAGTGTGAGGTAGGTTTGCAAATTGCTTCTGTTTGCCAGAGTCCTCCATGTGCTGGGAGGAAACAGCGTGAGGCTACTGTATGAGCCCTTTTCACTTTGCCTTCTTATCCCTACCTCCTTCAGCCCAGCTCTACAAAGAATGGCTAGTGGTGTCTACTCAGAGGCTCCTGTCTTAATCTGGCTCGTCTCTGAAGTGTGCCTGAGCTGCTTTCTTTCCTCTTGCCACCTCTGACCAGGAGTATATCTACAATATCCATGGACATAGCATTTGAGTTCATAAAATTCTTTACAAACATTCTATATTTGGCTCACAGCAGTAGGAGAAAAGCCAACCAAGCATTGTTGAGTGGATGCAGTTATTTTTAGCTGCCTTTTTGTTTCCTATTGGACAAACTGCCTTTTTTTCCTGTAAAGAGAGGAGAACTGACATGGTAAATGATTGCATTGTGTGCCTCTGGTGGGTCACAGTGCTTTGTTCTGTTAGCTGGATGGACACGCCTTATGAGGCAGATGATCTTCATGACTAGATGATTTAATCCTCTCTTTACTGTCTTTTTTAATGGCTCGATCTGAAAGTGTTCGTAATCTTAAAATCTTAAAGGAATAAACAAAAAATAGCCTATTTTTAGTTGTTGAACGTTTATTGGTCCTTTAACCAGGCAGGGCTTGAAGTTGTTATCTAGTGGAATAGTTACGTAGCTAGACTTATGTTACCTTCCTGCCTCTTCTTTTAGAATTCAAGACTTACTGGTACAGGGATAAACAGAAGGATCAGTGGACCAGCATTTTGATATACAACAGAGGTACCATGCCAAAGGAGGGACTGTTTAATAATGGAGCTGGAAAAATTGCTTGTCTATAGGGGAAAGAAGTAAAATATGTCTGTCACGCCATAACAAAATCAACGAGATGGATTAAGAAGTTAAATGTCAAAAGCAAAAGTTTAAATTTTCTAGAAGAAAATATTAGTAAATATCTTTCTGACTTCTGGGTAGGGACTTTGTAAACAAGATACAGAAAAGTGTTATCCATAAAAGATTAATTTCATCTTTTAAAGAAAAAGACATCTTAAAATGAAAAGATAAGATGAAAACTAGGAGAAGGTATGTGTAACACACCTAACCTATAAAGAGTTATCATCAGATTATAAAGAACTCCTACAAATCAGTCATAAAATGATAAGCAACCCAATAGAAAAATGGGCTAAAAACATGAAAAAGTATTACACAAAAAATACACATTTCTTAATTTCACTAGCAATCAGAGAAGTATAAATTAAATGCACCCATTTCAGTGGCAAAATTAAGAAATCTGATGATACTAAATTTTGGAAAAGATTTGGATCACTTTAGATTGCTGGTAACAACGTAAATTATTATAACCACTTTGGAAAAATTGTTATAACCACAGCTAGGCATTATCTTATCACGCAGAACATTTGCATACCTTATGACACAGCAGTTTCACTCCTAGGATATACCCAAGAAAAGGTCGTGCACATGTGTCTAAGAAAACATGTATAACAATGTAAAATCAATAAACAGGAAACAACTCAAATGCCCTTTAATGGGAAAATTGATAAATAAATTGTGGTATATCCACCTACTGGAATATTATACAAGAGTGAAATGAATAACACATAGCTACATACGACAAAATGGCTGAATCTTAGTAACCTAATGTTGAGTGAAGAAAAGTAGTGCCACAGGACTGCTTAAGGAATAATCCTTTTATAAAATTAAAAAACAAGCAAAAATTTAAAGGCATATATACATATGTGATAGATTTATTTTTTTTTTTTATTTTTTATTTTTTTTAAGATTTT